GGGCTGAGTCAGACGTTCTACTTCAGCTGGGTTAAAATGCTGCTTTTAACAGGTGCCATAAAACAAGAGGACATTAGCCCTATGTTAACATCACTGCATTAACTTCCAGTTTGGCTCTGGACTGGTTTTTATTTGTATTGATTTATTTATATAGTTTTGTCACTGAGGTGTCATTGTAAGTGTCTTCATGGTCCCACTCCACACTCTGTGTGATGTGCTCCAGCTGCACTGTCCCAGGTCACACTCACCGAGCTCAGCTAGGCCAAGCTGTTAGATCGAGTGTCTTGCAATTGTTTTCACTGAGCTTTAAAACAGAAGGATTGTGGATATGGTGAGATCATAAGCTTCAGGTGTGACAGCTATACTAAAAAAAGAACTGACAACCAGAAGTGACAAAACATGGGAAATTAAAAAAAGGACATTAAGCTGAAAATGAACATTGCTCTCATTCAAAAGCTTGACACATTGTTTACAAAAAAAACAACATGATTCTTCCACAAATCTTAATTTTCTCAGACAGCTTTAATGAAACAACAAACTCAGACAGCTGCACGACCTTGAAGGAGATGTCTGTCTGAGTGCTTTGTGGTGTTAATCAGTAATCTGTTTAATTTCACAGATCTGTGGTCAAATCTGTTCAAGGAGTCTGGGTCCTCCACACGTTCAGTGTCTCAGCACTGCATTCAAAATGCTTAAAGCTCTGACTTCTAGCAGACCTTGACGCAAAGAAGATCTCATAGTTAAAAAAATTATATATATATATATATATATATATGTATATATATTTTTTCTAATATAAAAACTTGAAGCATCACTGCAGTGAAAGGACAACCTGAAGAACGCCTTTTCAAAATATTTTGTGCCTTATTTTGGAGGTTCCATGAAAAGTGTCATGACTGTGAATTTGGGATGTGCTGCTTCAATCAACATACATGTACCCATAATATTTTGTACTATTATGGAACAGTTTCAGGGATTTACAAGTGAGCAGGCATAGGCGGAGTGGTGGAGCAGAGGTTAGAGAAGGTGGGCCTGTGATTGGAAGGTCGCTGGTTTGACTCTCCTGACCGACAACATCAACATGTGGGTTGAAAAGGTGAAACAACCACACCTGCCTCCACCCTCAATTGTCCCATTCTGGGCTATTAAGCAAATACCCTTCACCCCCCACCATGTGCTCTCCCGGGCACCCTAGCTGGCTGCTCTCTGCTCCACAGAGGGCAGTGGTAGCTCGGTGGTCTGTGGATGTGTCAGGAAGGGCATCCGGCGTAAAACCAACTGTGAAGTCTTTGTGTGAGTTAGTTTGCTGTGGGGACACCTGAGGAAGGGAGCATCAAACAGAAGAAGGAACAAAGTGGGCAGGCGTAGTATAAAAGATAAATAAAATAAATCAAAGCAGTAATGACATGTATACAATAAAAGAAACCCAATGGATGCCAGAACAGCAGACAGAAAATGCCTGTCAAATGATTTCCTTGAAACACATTACATTGTTACAGCTTTGTTGTGCTTGTTTGGGGTAATCCCATGCACATTTATATCCCACCATGCAGCTTAAATTGTTTTTTGCTGGCTTTAAGAATGACGAACATACAGTCCCTGGGGGCAGATTCCACAAAGGAAATGGTCTGTGTCTATTTGTGTTTGTGAGACAGAAGCAGTCAACTGAAAGCGTTTTGAGAAATGAGTTCAAGCGTTGAGTACTCAGCTTGTAAACTCAGTCTAACACAGAGCACATGGCCCTTGACTCATTCAGAGGTAAAAATAAGGGGAATGTTTCTCCCAGTTTAAACAACCATGGCAGTACTGGGTGTGAAACAACAATTAAGAATCCTGGTCTTTTTTTGTTTTTCTCTTCCAGAATGTGCAAGTGACTTTACAAGCAATCCAAAATGTATAAAATGTGACTTTTGTATGTTTAATTTTATTTGTACCACTTTCAGTTTGCTGCTTTGGCTGCTTCCAGTTGTTGATTGTTTCTCGGTGCTCCATCAGTTCCATAACTGAACAGAATGTGAACATCTCAGGAGCTCCAGAGATCAGCTCCAAACCTCTACACTTCACACCAAAACCATCTTAGCGTTAACAGCTGGTTTGGGGTTTATGCTTCTTCTTTAAGAAAAAGAAAAAAGTGAGTAAAGTGTTATCTGAGACGTTTAATGTTTACTAATCGTGTTTGCACTTCTGCCTGTTTGTGCACGATCATCCATCAATCAGCCCATTGTGTCATGTCCAATCTTAATTTGAAAATCTGCGATACAGTGAATCCGCGAAAAATGAACCGCAAAGTAGCGAGGGACTGCTGTATATGTTATCTAGTTTTTTTTCCTTGTTTCTATGATAAGATCAATAAAACTGTACAATACAAAGTCAAAAATACAAGTGGGACGAATAGACATTTTATTATTGTTGTTGTTGTTAAAGGTCCCACAGAATTTCTAAGTGGAAAATATCCAAGTCCTTCAGTATTACATTTTTTTTTAAATTTAGTATTAATTCTATGCAGCTGGTGGTGCAGGTGGATCAGTTGGTAGAGCTGCTGCCTCTCAGCGAGAAGGTTGCCGGAACAAATCCCGGCCGGGGGCCTTTCTGGGTCAAGTTTGCATGTTCCCTCTGTGCATGCGTGGGTTTTCTCCGTGTACTCCGGTTTCCTCCACAGACCAAAAACATGCATGTTCGACTGATTGGTAAGTCTACATTGTCCCTAGGTGTGAGTGAGTGTGAATGGTTGTTTGTCTCATTTGTCTCTATGTGTCCCTGTGATGGACTGGAGACATGTCCAGGGTGTCTCCCGCCTTTCACAGTGACTGCTGGATATGGGCACCAGTGGCCCCCTAGACCCAGAAAGGAAGAAGTGGGAAACGTGGATATATGGATGTATACATATTATTCATTCTTTTTTAAATGTTTCTTTGTATTGTACTTTTCTTTTGACTTGTCATGTTAAATTATGAGATTAGGCAGTCTTGGCTTTTCGATTGAGTCATATTTATATTATGTTCATACTACTAGATGTCCTCATCTGTCCAGGTTGTTAATTCATATACCACCTGCTGTTAACTAGTAATCACCACACCTGCTGTAGTTTCCTCAAGTAAATATCGTACATATACGGGTTGTTTTCCACAATGTGATGAGGCATTAGATGTAATGGCAACGGTAAACAAAAGAACAGGAAGTAGTAAATACATTATAGTTATAACACACTTTTCACAGACACAGCCTCACAACATGCTTCACAAAAGACAAAATAATTAAAACAATTAAAAATAGATAAATGAATAAATAAAAACTCAGAAGAATAATCAGCTGAAAAGACTTCCTGAGTAAGTTGTATGTCTTTTATACATGGGGCTGGATTTAGAAAGCATTCTTGCCATTGTATAAAAAGTTCCTCAAAGAGTCATATTTTTTAAGCACATTGAGCATTTAACAACACATTCCTTCGATGTGTTAGCAGTTATTCTGTATTTAGGAAGTAAGGCTTATTAAATAATATCAAAATCAATATGGGTCACACGTGCTTCAATGTTGCGGTTTGACGGTTTGTGCAAACTGTCCTATGACAATAATAAAAAAAAATGCTGCAGTACATGGAGTTTGATGCCCACAGTATGAAGCAATTAGACACATGTAGCTTCAGATCAAATCCAATCATTACATCGTTGGTACACTATCAAAGGAAGTCAACATTTCAAGCATTACTTTGGTATAATGCAGGATTTTGGCATTTTTATAAATCTGCACTGTGGCTTGACTCAACCAGCTACATATTTAGACTGTAACAAATCTAAGAGCTCTTTTAACTTTCTCAATTTTATTTATTTTTTTATTGTGTGATCATTATTGCCTAATAATGTGCACACAAGATTTCAGAGAGCAATAATGGCTGATATAGTTGCTCATATGTCTCTATGTCAAGGTTAGTCACTATTGCAGGTCCACATTGAATAAGGTTAACAGAAGATGATGGCCACATATAAATGCAGCTTCACACACTTAAGGTTAGCAAATACCTGCAGAGCAACCTTGTAATCTAAGAGACATTCAGCAGCTGTAGTAACACTTTTATTTCTATACATACAACACTCTCAGAAAACATGCAAGACTACACTGTGTCTGGTTTTAATTAAAACCTTTACCGCACTTAAGCAATATAATACACTGCGAGTGGTGCAGTTAACGTTTTAAGAAACTGATGCACATTTCCTGAGCAAGTTAAGTCACTAACCAAGCAATCCTGCTTACATTTAACATTTATTTATTTCAGCATGATCAGATTGTTTAGTACCTACAATAAGAGACAGGTTTATTCAAAAGACATGGCAACTTGTCATTGCTAAATCATGGTTTAAAAGATTTGGTAGTTGAATGCTGTTAACAAGTTGGTTTGCAACCAGACAATTCTCCCAGTGCATGACTGCCCTGTTCCCAGTGCATGATTGCCCTGTTCCCAGTGCATGACTGCCCTGTTCCCAGTGCATGACTGCCCTGTTCCCAGTGCATGACTGCCTTGTTCCCAGTGCACGACTGCCCTGTTCCCAGTGCATGATTGCCCTGTGATGTTTTGTCTATGTTTAAAAGTCACATATTAATTCTGATAGCTGGTGTTGTAGGAAGAAAACATGTTTATTTCATAGACTAACTGGACTCATGGGGGACTGGCAGTAAAGAAGAAAAATAGATAGTGAGGAGGCTGACAGTGGACAGTGTTTTTCTTTGAGGCACAAAAAGTTGAAACCAATCCATCACACACAGAAGCAATGCCACCACTGTGTTTTGCGTTGGCTCTAGACATTGGTTGTATTCCCTTAAGCTTCAATATAAAGTGTGCCAGTTCTCCCATGTGTATGCAGAGGATAAAAGTTCCCCTTATTCTCACACTCAAGCATTTCAATTTATGATCATGTTTCTCTTTAATCTATCTGCTCAAAACTGAGGTAAAATACCCATAATTACATAGGTGTATTTTTTTTTTTTTTATAAATGTTGATGCATTGTTACCATATTATTGCTCCCCATGTGCACTTATGACCATCTGGGTAATTATGGCTGAGCTGAGAGACACTATGTTTTGTTGGTTGCCTCATGGCAAGCTTCTGTTTATGGAAATATCTTGTCATGCACACTTCTAAGAGAGAAAGTTAACTAAATGTATTTCCTTGCAGAACTCTTCGTGTTTCACCAGACTTTCCTCCATGTCCCATGTCATGCTGATACAACTGTCTGAACTTTGGACACTTAATTAATCTGCCACCACACAAAGAACTCCCAGTGAAAACTTCTAACTTATGGATTTCCTCTTACAACAAATGGTAAAAAAAAAATCCCCGAATCATCCTCCTCCTCCAAATCCTGTAAAAACAAAGATGCAAGCAATAAAACAATTCTTAATATATCCAGAGTTAAGCCATTTATCTGCACTCACCTGTAATTCTGCAAACTTCAACTTTACAACATCCAGCCAACATCAAAATGTTTTCTTATATATTTTTTTTAAAATTCACCTACCTTTTAGTTTGGAACATAGAAAACAAATTGTGACAGAACTATAACAAAAAAAAAGAGGAACATATATTGTTTGACAGATAGACCATAACAAGACGCTGCATATGTTACGTCCACAAAGGGCACAACACACGAAGGAGGACACGGACTCACACATGAGGGTTCAAACATTTAATTTATTTAAGTTTGTCTTCTCTTCCTGGTCTCTCATCTGCTCGCAGTCAGGAAAAAAAGATAAATTATGAACCCCCACTTCCCGTGTCCAACAAAAAAATACAACCCCCCCAAAAGAATAAACATCAAAGCAACAAGGTCCTGGAGAACCGGCGTGTCCAGCAGAGACTCACGCTGTGGGGTACGTCATGGATTCGTGAGGAGTGTGACAGATGATGTGTCTCTCAGTTTTGTCTCAGGAGGATGTTGAAGATGTTTACATATTTGGATTTATGATAACAGGGACTCTGCTTTTTGACATCGGCGGGGCTCTGATTTATCGACTTTTGAAGAAGACATCGGCAGCAGTTTCGGCCATGGAAAAGCTTCCGAGTCAGTGTGAAGGTCTGGTCCTCGCTGTGGGAACTTTGAATCGTCTGGTTTACGAGCTTAACCGTAAGGTGGAGGCAATTGAGAATCGCAGGCCACCTGCGGCTTCTGGGACTCATCAGCGTGGTGGGTTTGACCTTGAAGGAGACTCATAGCATGGATCAGTGGAATGGAATCCCACAATTAGGCATTTTCAGAACCGGAACGCCCAGATGGACTCAAGGCTGAAGAAAAAGTAATCTCTGCCTGAAGAAAAACAAGAATCAATCTTATCTAAATCTGACTCCCGACGGCCTCGGAGACAGGTCGACTATCAAATTTCTCCTGGGACATGAGTACCCAAGGACAAAAGCTTCATCTATCGCGCGGACCCTCCCCGAGAACTTTCTGTGCAAGCTTATCAGAACTGCTGGCTGGAACAACATCTTCAGAAACTGTGGCTGATCTGAAAAAATCACTCATGGACAAATCTCAACATCTTGATGTCAAATGCAAATGTAATCATGTTTTAATTGTGCTGCTGGTAGAGATTTTTGATGTCGCAAATCGTGTCCTGATAGACAAGATGTGAACGATCTTGTTTGTAATACCACTATCTACCCTCATGTTTTTACCCCTTTTCCTATCTAAGATTATTATCTGATATGGATAAAATGGCCGCGCTTTCTACAGTTGCAGCTTCATGCACTCCGCCCATTTTTCGGACGACTGTACGTACATATTCGTGTTGTACCTCGGTGCAATTCCAATAAAGTTTATTCTGACTCTGATTCTGATTCAGAATGGTGAGCTGGTCAAACAGAACAAAAATGTACATCAGAGGGCCAACTCTATACAGGGCCGTCAAAGCAACTGCTTTTACTGGACTAAATCTAGAAAGAACAAAACAATAATACAAAAAGAGCCTAGCTCAAAAGAAAGAAAGAAAACAGGAAACCAGTCCCACCTGCCAAAATCAGAATGAAAAACGCAACAAATGCTTACAAATTTTACCACGTCAGGTTGAGGCAGGCACTGTGGCCTACAGGCCCTGGCTACGTGTGCACACCACTGAGATGCATCCGGGTGGTGGAGTGGGCGAAGAAATAAATTGAGTGCGACCCAGTCAGCGAAGAAGATAGAGCGAGTGCCCTCAAGGCCCGCCTGTTTATAGGCAGACGGAAAATGGCACAGCTTTAAACAATCAAATATTAATATTGTGCCTCAAATAATACTAATAAAAATAATAATAATAATGTGCCCCAAAGCACATCATAATAAAATGTGTGGTTTCTTTATGTAAAACGAGAGATTGTTGGCCATTTACAAAGTGTTGGGCTCATCATGTTGTCAGATGGCACTAGCATTGCACTCGGGTTCAAAAAAATCACAACCGACCCGGTCCCAGCCCGCAGCCATCATCTCCGAACCCCACCGATCTGACAAATTAACAGTAATTACAGGTCCAAACCTGAAAAAACCCTCAACATTTTCAATTAAGCTATGACTGCTTATACCACAGACTATTATTAATGGTTGGCGGATGCGCACGGCTGAGTAAAGGGGGCAGAAGATCGGAGCTGAGGAGCCATCAAAGCACATTAAATGCTTCTGCTACTTTTGCCAGCATTGGACCCTGCTCTGACATGTCAGATATTTTGTGATCTCACCTGTTTGGGTCATCGGCCGCATGCGTCTGCTGAGGGCAGCAGCTGAATGAACATCCATTTGGGCTGATGGGTCACTGGCAGTAGTCCATCTGAACCTTAACTGAACTTTTTACCTCTTTCAACCAGCCAGTCAGCAAGCGGTCAAATGGCCACGTGCGGCTGGTGATAGTATGGCAAGTCATGTCGGCATATAATTAGATTGTCAGCCACACGTGTCCCTGACGCAATAAAAAGCTCAACACTGACACAGCCCGCACATTAAGCACCTGATTATGGCCCAAGCCAGTCCAAATCCGAGTAGGGCGGATCCCGGCTCTGGGTTCGGGTTAGAAATGACAGCTCTAGATGGCACCACAAGAAATTAGTACATTTACAGAGATATTGGAGATGATGGTGCAGCATGATAACACCTGGATTTATAAGCAGTGCAGAGATAAGCTAATCAAATTCAAGTTTGGTTATAGGAAAGTTAAGGACCACAACGGGTGGAGTGGCTCGAACACAAAAAGACCAGTTACAGTCCCTCCCACTTTACAATGGTAATCCTGTCCCCAGAGCGGGGAAACAGATCCACCTCCACTGTAGTGGCAAATCACCTACACCTGAGAAAAAAAGCAGAAAAGGAGCTATGGAGCTATACTTACCAAAGGCAAAAAGGTTTTAGTGAGAACAAAGTTCTAACCATTGTGGATGTATGTACTGCATGTCAGAGGTCCCCATCACTGCTGCTTGTAGACCACTGTCCTGCATGTTTTAGACGTTTCCCTATTTCATCAAACCTAAATTAAATGAATGGGTCATTGACAGACTTTCTGCTAAACTTTGTGACATTCTACGTATGTAATTAAATTATTTGAGTCAAGTGTACTGAAGCAGGGAAACAACTAAAACATGCAGGACAGTGGGCCACGGTGGCCAGGGATGGGAACCTCTGCTGTGTGTCAGTGACTTTTACAAAGCAATTCAAGGCCACCGAAAGATACAGAGGTATTTTCAGTAGCTGTTTCCTCAGTTAGAAATGTAATTAGGAAATGGTCATTAACAGGAACACTTGAATTGAGGTCCAGACAGTCAATAAAATGTTATAGAACTGTTCATTGAATTGTTAGAGAAGCAAATCAGGGCACCAATTTAACTGGAGAAGCTCTTGCATGGTACATCTGTGAAACAATAATTACACAAATTACTTTTGTTTAGAGCAAATAATGTGAATTTATACAATTTTATACATATTACCTGAAATACTGTTGCAGCTATTTAAGGACATAATTGTCATAATATCAACTTCATTTTAACGGCACAAAGAGTTCACAAGCTGTGAAACTTGCCCTAAGGGATGATAATAAGTGCAGATAATAGAGAGCTGCAGTACTTTATTTCTGAATAAAAAGTATAGAAGGAAATATACTTTAATGCTCAGCTAAAATGTTAAATCCTTTTCACATTAGGTCACTTTTTAGTTTTAGTCATTCGTATGTGTCCTGTGGTGACTTTTACAAAATAACTCACAGGCATACTAAGAGTCAAAGCAAATTCTGCTGATAATGGTATGATATGTAGTTGTGGGCAAACAAGATGTTTCCCCATTCCTTCAGATAAGTCAACAACAGTTCCCCATGTTTTGTAGAGGTCTTACTTTTTATTGCAATTTGGATTTGCTTATATTTTTTACCAACCTAGTAAACTAAGTGAACAAAATGAACGCAGTGCCATTAAGCGTGTGATTCAAATGACATGCATTCTAGTTATAGTTGTTGGTTAGTTACAGACCACCATCACTCAGAAGGACGGTGAGGGGGTTGGAGGTAACTGGAATCACTGATGTTGCAAATCTTACTTCCTGCAAGGACCATAGATCACTTAGGTCTCATTTAGACACATCAGTAGACTACTCTGTGTCAGCAGTTACCTGTTGAATGTGACAGAGTGAGACAGAAAGGAGAATCACTTGACATCTGCTGGTAAAAGCTGTGGAGTTTATGTCACTGCTTTGGCTCTCGTCCAGACCATCCATTAGGTCGTCACCAGACCGAAGCAAGAAGAGAAGAAATAAACCAGTTTGATGATTATATCTTGTGAGGAGTTTTAGTGGCGCAAAGAAAAAAGGAAGAAAGAAAAACACATTTTTGCAAACATTTTTTGTGTTATTTAGCTTAAAAAAATATTCATAGCCAATATCATCCTGTCTTTTAAGGAAAGGTTTTTTTTTATATTTTATTTTTTTTTATTTTTATGGAAAGACGTGGTTGGTAGAATCTTGGGAAGACTGATGTTATGAAATGATTCTCCCACATTAAATTGCACCCTACAATGTTGTAAACAACTATAAGCAGAAGCAAATATAAATATGAATGGTAATATGTCTTC